TTACTCGGACACTAGATGTGATAATATAGTTTTGGTTAATCTATTATTTTCTCAAATGTTTGATTGAGGCATTCCTGAATTTTTTTTGCACTGACTCTTAAGACTGATTTTTACCGAGAGTTTGAAATTCAAATATCAAAAAGTCTAGGATGTGTTTGGTTAGAAGGTTAAATAAACCTTAATTGAAAATATGATATTTTGATTATTTTTTATATTTAAAGGGGAGAATATGACTACAAATATAGTAACGATTATCGTGAATAATAATGTAAAAATTGACTTGGTGATTCAATAATCACGTCTAATGAATTTCATCCCTGCCTTCCCTCAAACCAGTCATGGTTATTGTCAATAAGTGTTACTTTACCTTTAATTTCAAATTAATAGTTAATTTCAATTAATAATTTGCAGTTTTAGAACTATTCGACTTTAAATTGTGAAAACTTATATAACTCCAAATATATTTAAGATCGAATATTTTTAATATAGAATTTGGAACCAGCGTTAGATTCTACATCGAACCCATTTATCATATCAATAAATTCGGTTTCTTTAAAATTTTCAATACAATAATTTCTAAGTCGAATAACTCGAAAAATATTCAATATAAAACATTTTAAATTGCAGATTCGAACTCAATGATGAATTCGACATCGACTACATATATAAAATATAAATGTAAAATCGACGGACCGACGGTGAAAACAGTGCACCTCCTTTAGGACCTCCATTAGGAACAAGCATTTAGACCTGATTTCATATTTTTCTCAATTGGATATCAACTTATTTAATGATAATTTAAATTAAATGTAAAACAGTCTATAAATTGACTGAATTTATTAAAACAGTACAAATAACTAATTTTGTCTAAACAATAACTTGAACACTTCTAAATATGTTACAATGTATGAACCAAATGCTTGCACCCGTCCTGTTCACAGCATAGAGGTGTGACTGTATTAAATACAGTATAGCCTTTACACTAAAACATTACATTAATGACTAATGTTTACAATATTTTGTTTTCATGTCATATATCCTGAAAAGTGTAGCACTTTTTACATGTATTTGTAATTTGTTTGAAGAATTAATGAATTGATTGTTTTGTTACTCTTATTAATACAGATATTAATCAATGATTGAATGAATTGTTGAGAAATGAAGTGAAATCTCTTGACTCAAGTGTTTTCATTGTTATGAATTTTCAACGATTATTTCAAGACTTTAACTCGAGGTATGGTATGGTATATGAGGTGTGGATGCGTTGGATGTGCTAACAGTAGTTGTGTTTGTTTTGCAGCAAATTTGTTGTCTACTTATGTCTGCTGTTATTCTCAATGCTGTTTGCATTACGAGTGGACAACACGATTGTCATCTCGTATTGGCTGGTATTCACTCCATTATGGCTGTGGAAGTGTTTGGTGATCGTCGGAGCACTCATTGGAACCGTTGTATGGATTCGTAACCCAGACTATCGCCAATCGGACAACTCTTACATTCACTTCAAATCAATGCTAATAAGTCTTTCGCTTCAGTTATTGTTATTAATGTTTGAGTTATTAGTTTGTGATAAACTGGAATCTGGGCGACACTTCTGGATCTTGGCGTTCATTCCTCTGGTGTTCATCTCGTTGTTGTCGATAGCGGTGTGCATTTGGTCGCTCAAGAATGACCGCGCCTTCGAGATGGAGCTGTTCTGCTCCGTCAATATCT